AAAAAAAAAAAAAAAAAAAAGAATGGCAGCATGTAAGACCCATTCCAGTCACAGGCTAAGGAAAAGGTGGGGAAGTTGGTAATGCACAGTAAAACACTCAAGGATCTCTTTAATCACAAAGTTCCCTAAGAAAATAATTTTCAGCAGCCCATAGAGCCAGCTCCCTTCTTAAATATCCACTACAACAAACCTTCCCCATAAAATAAAAATATCTTGAACAGTCCTTTGACGTGTATTGTAATGGGATTTGACCTGTAATAACAAAGCAGCAAGGACAAAGGAAATGGGATTATGTCTGTAATGCTGGTATGTGAGCTATCCAAACTTCATAGCAGTATATCCAGTCAGTTCCAGACTTGCCTGATTGAGGATAATCCATGTTGTTCACTTTTTTCCCCTTCTTCCGAAGGCTTAACTTTGTCCCTGAGAAACGCAGAAGTTTAGTCAATTTCCTCCCTAGTTAGAAGTGCCAGTAGAGGATTTGATTGGTGAAAAGATTAGAAACTAGATGAAGTTTCAGATTTATCTGTGGATTTCGTTTAATGGAGACTTTCCTGTTTCCCGTGGATGATGAAAATTTGCTTTGGTGTTAGAACTTGGAGTTAAGATAGCTCTAGCTATCATAAGTACAAAGGGATTTTTTAAGGTTTTATCCTAATTTTCTTTCTCATCTCTCTAGGTGGTGCTTGGCAGTTTTCATTTAACGTGAAATTTTACCCACCAGACCCCGCCCAGCTATCTGAAGATATCACCAGGTATTTGAAAGTTGGCTATAAAAAGGCAGGCATCTTGGGCGAGTTAGGCTTCTCTTAAATTCTCCAGAGAAGGGCGTGCTTACATTTGGTAACCTTGTAATCATCCACCCTGCAGGGCAAACGAAAGGAAAGGCAACTGAATGAGAGCAAACATAGATGAGAAGATTTGCCAGATTGCTCGTAGTTGAATCTTTGTTGCTAAGCTGATACTTCCCTCTGCCTGACCCTGGTGGGAAGACAAGCAGAACTGAGATACTGTCATCCACCCACCACAGCCAGATTGGATGGGATTCAGCCTTGAATGATATAGCCATTCTTCATATGCATGCTTTAAAATTTAGGAGTAAAAACTGTCTCTGGATGCTTATGCCCTTTATATAACCAATCTGGGCCTTGATAGCTCTTTTAAGAAAATCAGACGCACACACACGTTTATATACAGATACACATGAACACATGTCAACTTAAGAGTTTACTCTCCATGACCTACAAGGGAAATGATCAGTTCATTTTCACACACAAAAGAAAAATACATTAAAGTAGGAATCCAACAAAACTATTCTGTCTTGGTAACTGGGCTCTGAGTGTGAGAAGGTTCCCCTTTATGAAACGGTCCCGGGTGTGATGCACGTCCTCGGCTTCTGTGCATCCCGCTCTGGAACCCCTGACTCTTGCTCTGTTTGGTAGTAAGTTTGTAGCCAGCTGTTTTGTGCAGTGTGTGCTGAATTTTCTGTGTATGGCTCACATCCATGGAGGGCTTTTCAGAAAAGGGAAATTACTCAAAATGCCTCAGTCTCTTGCTATGATTAAAAAAACTTTAATAGGCATTTAGGAGAAGGGTAAACACTAGCTCCAGAGTATTTCTTCTGTGTTTGCATTAAATTAGAAAATTTATAATTTCTTATTCAAAAATACTCTAGTAATATTAAGAACTATTTAATTGTGGCTGATTTGTGGATGTGGAGCCTATACACACCTGGCTTTGAAATTTAGTGCATGGTTGATTTCTATCTACTGGTGTAATATTTGTAGAGCCCGTGAAGTAATTAGAAATTTTTATATCTAAATAACATAGGTTTGCTTATAGCATTAGCTTAAAGTCATATTTGGGGGGACCTTAAGACTTTTTCAAGTTCTCGGCTTCAACAGATTAACAGTTGATTTCTCATATGAAAGATACAAGGTGTGTTTTATTACTATACCCATATGCTGGACCACGAAAGGTAATAAAACTTAACTAATGTCAACACTTACCTTGGAATCTTCCACAATTAGTATTATATCTGTAATCTCAGAAGCAAAATGACAGAGAAGATAAGTCAGGTATTAATGGAAATATTTTTATGTTATTAAATTTTTTGTTATTATGGCAAAATTATATGGGAAATGTTTCCTTAAGTCTAGTTGGGATTTAATAATTTTATTTAACAGCACCATGTTTATATTAGAAGACCCCCAACCAGAGATTTCAGGGAGTGTGTTGGGGACTGTTCATTTGACTATTCATGTTATTTTAAAAGATGTTAAAGGAGTATGTCTTTAGTTTTCTTTTTACTCTGTGCTTTATTAATAAAACCCTGTTTTATTATGAACATTGACTTGCCTTTAGATGCCTTTAAATATTGTATTTTGTGGCTAAGTGTTTTCTACTATATCTAGATCAAAATATAGATGCTAGAAAATGTGCCCTCATGTGGTTGATTATTTGATAGGGAGAAATTGCTTACTGAAGAGTATGTACTGAGTGGTCTCCTTTTCCTGTATCTCAACGCTGGCTTTTTGCTTTGTCCTTTTGGCCACTTGAAGGTACTACCTCTGCTTACAATTGCGAGACGACATCGTGTCCGGAAGGCTACCCTGCTCCTTTGTCACCCTTGCCCTGTTGGGCTCCTACACTGTCCAGTCAGAACTTGGAGACTACGACCCAGATGAGTGTGGGAATGATTACATTAGTGAGTTCCGCTTTGCACCAAATCACACTAAAGAACTGGAAGATAAAGTGATCGAGCTGCACAAGAGTCACAGGTTTGTGGCAGAAACCCTGAGGATAGTCCATTTAAGTTGGGCCTTGATGAGTGAGCATCCCTTTCACTCCCCACTTTTCCCAAGACTGATCCCAGTGCGTTGTGGGTGGGACTTTAGCAGAGTAGGGGTCTGCACTGGGTACAGTTCTGGGATAATTAGGTTCTTCCTTAGAATATCTATAAGGTTTTTTTTAAAAGCCATCTTCTTTTTCTTTTTCTTCCCTCAGAGCACAAATCTTGCTCATTAGATAGCGAGGGAGCTAAACAGGAAATACTACTGTCCCCCGGTAAAAGCAAAGCAGCATTGTAACACCACTTTTTTTCTCTTCTCAGAGGTATGACGCCAGCAGAAGCCGAGATGCATTTCTTGGAAAATGCCAAAAAACTGTCCATGTACGGGGTAGATTTACATCATGCCAAGGTATGTATTTTTTAAACTTTTAACTTCATTTTATTTACTTCAGTACTGTTATTGCTATATAAGCTGGTGAGTTTTACTTCAGTGCATGTAAACCAAAACTTTGGGGATTCAAATCTGTGTTTGCCCTTGAAGGCCTGCCCGATGATAAAACACATTTAGCTCTGATGTTTTACTGAGGGGTTGGCTCTTCATGGCTCAAACTCACATGACTCGTGGTCTGAGCCTCTGACTGCCTGTGGGTTCAGTTGGAAATTTATCTTCACTTAATAAGCTCTAAGCTTGCCCTGCCTTCCCTGTCTCAGTTGTATCTCCCACTTTGCTCCTGCAAACCCTATCTCTGCCCTTTGCCTGAATGTCCTCATTTTTGTCTACACTGTCCTCCTTTCTGTCTGTCTGTCCGTCTAAACTTGGCTGATTGTCTAAGACCCAATTGTCACATCTATTATGTGTGAAATACTGTTTATGGCCCTGTTCTGGTTACCCACCAGGCACTCAGTAAATGCCTGTGAAATTTAAGTAACTCCGTCTCTAAAGTTGAGGTATTCTGACAAATAACCTGTCCTTTGAAATAAGATTGTTATTTTTGAAGTTCAACTAAAGTTAACCACACAGGCTAGGGACTGCCCAGTTGCTTGGTGATTGGTGATTGGTGAAGTGTTAAAGCTGTGTCTTGGCTGTGGTATCTTGGGAAGGAAGTTGGGATTAGACTGTACAAGGGGGAAGGTTGTAAGGATGCACAGAGCAGCTTTTACTCCATGTGATACTTTTTCTAGAATCTGTATTTTTCAGCAGTGACAGAATGAGTGTATGGACTATTAGCCTGTTATTTGAACAGCTGTGAATAAAGAACTGTGGAGATATAGGCAAGCTTTTATGAAAACTGTCATAATCAAAACATAAGAAATTTTTTAGGCTCTTAGAGATGGATTCTGGTATTTCAGAGTGTAGAAAGATCCCTGTATGAAGTCCAGGGACCGTGTCTTCTTATTTGGGCTAACAAGATAACACTGCTCGGGTTATGGGATGCGCCGTTACTTCTAATACACAGAGTAGCCACCAATTTCATGGTTTGGGACTCACAAGAACATGCGGTTAGCAGGCAGTCAAGCAAGTATCTTACACAGTCAAGTTCAGGGCCAAGAAATGAAGAGACTTTCAGCTGGCTCTGTTCAGGCAAACAGCTCAACATCCCTGAGGTCCCATGGGAGGGAAATCTATGATCTGTAGAATCTGTTGATGCTGCACTTGGGGTTACTCCTTGGGTGGCGTTTGGGGAGAGACTAATCCGCAGTGAGTTTGGACCAGAAAATGGTCACCATTAAGTGAATGCAGGTTTGACTGGTGATGTCTGTGATCACTTTGTCCATTACACAGGGTGAGGACCTGAGCACTAACTAGCATAATCTCCGAGGCTTGGCTGGGGCTCGTCCCAGGGCTGGGCTGGTGCAGTGTGCCAGGCTCTTTGACATTTGTGTGTAATTAGACAGCAGGTGTAGCTCTATTTACTTGCCAGTTTATTATGTTTTTTCTCTTATTTTGCAGTCAGAGAACAAAGGTGTTTTATATTTTATGCAGGTATAAAGCAGGATGAGAATTTAAAAAGAAAATAACACACACTCTAATAAGATTTTCTCTTAGAGTTTTTCCTTAGGTGACTAAAAGATAAGGAAGCAAGACGGGCATGAAGGTAGCCTGAAAATCTGAGTGAATCGAAAGCAAATTTTGAATTACATTGCACGTGATGATTCACTTACTGCCCAGGAAAAGTAAATAAATGAAAGATTAGGGCTTGCTTTTAGGGAAGTGTAACTCAGGATGTATCAGTGTTGCCATCAGTGAAAATAAAACCACTTAACATTGCTATAGCTACTGAATTAAAATGGATAGCTGCAATAATGTGATTTGAATTTATGCCAATTAAAAAAGAAAGAATTAAGGAAGTGCAAATGCAGCCCGTTGTAGGGTTTCATCTGAATATTAAGTATAACAAACGATTCGGTTATGGACTCCATTTTCTCATGCAGCCACACTCTCTCATTTTAAGAAGGAAATTTACTGAATTAAATTAGAGCTAATTTCTGGATGCCTTTCTTTTATGGATGGTATAAAAGATCCTGAGCTTTAGGGCCTATTTAGAAATTCTGAATTGTGATCTCAAATGCCACAGCTCGGTATGAAGAATAAACACCCGTATTAGCTGAAGGTCCCTTGTTTTGGAAAACCTGTTCTAAATGCTTTGTTTTTTCTTGGGAAGACTGTCTCTGCTTGTTTGTGATCTGATGTTAGTCTGAATAGACTCTGTGAGAGTCATTTATATTTCGCATAAGGTTCTAAAATGTAGATATAAATCTATATCAGGTATCCCATGGACCAAGTGATAATGAAGAATGGCAAAGTATAAACAGTGATTTTAAATTAAGGGAATAGCGTGCACATTTATTTTAATTACAATAGATTGAGATTATCCAGGCCTTCCTTCAGTATTCCCTGCTAAAGGGTGCATTAAATGTGTTCATTGGTAGGGAAACACACGTCCCCAAGATAAGCTGTCGATAGAGCTTTCAACACAAAAGATTTATCAAACTAACCTCAGTACTATGGGCTGGGGCCAAAAACTTGATTAATGAAGTGGAGACTGCCATCCGATTTAAAACCCCGCTTACCTGCTATTTTCTTTCCTCATTTGCCAAACATGTCAAGGCTTACCACATGCTAGGTAGGCACTGTCTTGACCATGTGGCTCCAGAGACTGAACAGAGCTCTTGCTCTCAACCAGCTACAGTCTTGAGAAGGAGGATGGGTGGGAGTTGACTGCAGTACCACTCTCTGGGGATATGCTAGATACAACAGGGTGATACAAGGACACCAGAGAAGCTCATGTTGGGGGACAAGGGGAAGGTAAAGGAGCAAAGGAGCCTTCCGCGTGAAAGGATTCTGTTTTCTTTAATTGAAAGACACTAATGAGTGATTTAAAAATAGAGAAAATAATGAAAAATGTTTTAAATGTTCTTTTCCTCTTTAGTTCAAAGGCATATTTTCTAAACTTTGATGTTCTTTATCAAAAAGAAAGTGAATCAAAGAGCAGATACTTGAACGGTCCTCCCTCATGCCTGCATTTGTGCTCATGGCGTGAGGCGGTCACCTCTGAACTGTTGTGTGAGCAGATGGGCTGGTTCTAAAGGATCAGTAATGTCAGTTCCTCGTCAGCATCAGGTTATAGCTCTTTAAATTGCTCTATCAATTTAAGCCCTTGGTAAGTGACAGGCAGTTTCTGTTCTTGGAGTTCTCCTCAGATTTTATTATAATATCCTGCCATCGAGTATTTCTACTCCTGTAATTTCATGCCTAATGGAGTGATATATTTCAAAGGTAAAATATTTTGTTTTAAACCAGTTATAAACTTATATTTCCCAGAGATGGACTGAAGTATTTATTTTTGATTCTGGAAATGTTCACCTTGTACCTTGCACTGACAGGATTTAGGAAGTAAATTCCTACAATATGGATGAGTCAGAATCTCCTGGTTGGATTCTGCCATTTGCCTCTCCCCTCTTTGCTGATACTGCAGAGTGACTCAAAGCTGGGGACAGCCCTGCTGATTATGGTGACAAAAGACCTTCGCTTTGCCTCCTATGACTCCCTGTTTCAGCAGCCAGTGAGACAGGATAGAGACTGCCTCACGCATAGTCCTGCTCCTGTCCTTTGTTTTTACCCCACTCAGAGCCACCACAGATGTTCATTTTTCACTGATTTCACTTGAATACAACATTTAGGGGGCCTGGACTATAGATGGTATGTCACCTGAACTTTACATAACATCTCTGGTGATCTCTGGGACCTCTGGGCATCACACACCCCTATGAAATGACCTAAATATGAATATGCAAATAGCAAAGCAAATTGCCAATGTAGCATGATCCCACTTTTGTTATCAAAGACTATACACATGAATAAGCTGTATCTATATGTGAATCATATTGTTAAGTGTGATTACCACTGGGCAGCGTGTGTGTGTGTGTGTGTGTGTGTGTGTGTGGGGGCCTGTTGGGGAAGTCTAGTTCATACTTAAAGGGAAAAAACTATTTTATATTTAAATTTTACTCTGACCATAATGGTATATAAAAAAGATTGAGGCTCTTTCTAAAGGAACAAACTCTAAAACACTCATAAGAAAGGATAGGGCCCTCTCTTATACATTTTAGTTAAGAGTGCTGCCTTTGGAACCAGGCTCCTGCATTCAACTGCGTCAGATACGTTACCTCTCCATGCCTCAGTTTCCTCATCTGTAAACTGGGAATAATAATAACAACTATCTCAAAATACCCTAGTGAATATTAAAAGAGTTAATATATATTACGTCAAGTGTTAGGGCAGCGCTTGGCACTCGGTAACTGAGAACTGCGGTTCTCATTTCTGTTATTAACACCTTCATTGGGTTGGCCTGCTCTGTGTGCAGTGTTTCTGTTGTAAGTCTTAACATATGTGGGTGAGCAGATTTTATTCTAACCAATCTCTATAGTTATATCTTTATTACAAGGCTATTATTTAGTGATAATGTTTTAAAATATGGCTCCAGTATTTTTCTTATGTAAATTAGAACTACTGGTAGTCAATTAGAGTTTCCGTGGCTTAAATATTGTACCCAGCTGTAAGTGGAAGCAAATGAGATACCGATCCTTTGTTTCTTGCTGTTATTTTCCAGGATTCTGAAGGAGTAGAAATTATGTTAGGAGTTTGTGCGAGTGGTCTGTTGATATATCGTGACCGACTGCGGATAAATAGATTTGCCTGGCCTAAGGTTCTAAAAATTTCATACAAACGGAACAACTTTTACATTAAGATCCGCCCGGGAGAGGTAAGTAGACCCAAATTTGCATGTACATTGGGGAAAAAGGTACCTGATAGCAAACAAATTTAAATTACCTGCTCACAAGTTCTCAGCATCTCAGGACATGGTTGGTCAATTACGTCTAAACGCCTAAGAGAATTTATTGTCGATTTGTCCAATAAACAGGAAGAAGTAAAATGTTCTCCTTTTTGTATTATTTTATTTCAATTTTCCCCTCGGCATACATTAATTGAAAAGATTGTTTTTACATATTTTAATGTACAATCCAGACTCATGAATAATATTTTGTATATTTCAAGCTGTGGTATAAAAGAAAGTCTTAGTCATTAAACCTCTTTGAAAAAGAATAGGCTCCTTCCTACCTGTTCTGTTGTTGTCTCTATGCCCTCTGTCTCTCTGCCCTCCAAATCTGATGGCATCTTAAAGAAAGCAGCATAGAGATAATGTGCATCGAGGTACAAGAAAGATTAGAGTAAGGAACACAGAGTGTATATTATGTAAATGTTCTACAGCCTAATATATTTTTGCCTTTTTAAAAAAAATCAGAGAAGCTAATGAGAGAGTCAAAATTGTTAACTAACCCTTATTCCTAGGACAACAGTATCTATGATTGACTTATGTTTGTGTTCTCCTTAGTGGTTTGTATGTAATAGTAAATATCTGCTTTATCTGCTTAAAGATAACTGATAAATATCTCCATTTCTAATCAGTACGATTAATATAATGGAGGCAAAGCTCTAAGATTGCAGCTCATTTATGTCTCTGAACATTTTCCGGCATAATATAGAATTATCTCGTGTCTTCAAAATCAGCCTACCCACTGGTGGAAAGTACAATTGAAATATCAGACTACAAAGCAAGCAGTAGTGTTAAGTATCAATATAAAGTCATCCTTGTCTATGAAGACTGAAATAATCTGTCAGCTTTTCACATAAGTACCCAACATTTTAGTAATTTTAAAAATACTTCCTAAAGATTGCATGTTAAACTTGTAACTGATATATATTCATTTGGATTTATTAAGCAAGCATCTATTTATTGCTGGGCACCATGTTGGGCATTGGGAATAGGAAGATAAATATGTCCTTGTCTCTGTCCTTAAGGCACTTTAGCAGAGAAACAGACTCACAAACTTGGAATTATGTCGTGATACAGATGAGACAATATTCCATGGACATGAAATGAGCACAGTTGTGAGAGGCCAGCAGGGAAAGCTGGAGAAGCGCAGCAGTAGACAGTAGTGAGCGATGGAAGGTTTTAAATTAGGACCTGACTTAACTAGATGAATACTTCAGAATGATGGATTTCTTGATGAGATTAAGCTACTTAGTAATGTGATGTGATAAGACCTAAACTAGAGCAGCAGCTCTGGGAATAGAATGGGAGGAGCAAATTCGAGACAGATTTCAGAGGCAGAACAGTAGATTTTGGAGACAGCAAGTGGGGGAAGGCTAAAGAGGAGAAAGTCCAGGATAATCAGAGGTTTTCAGCTTGCACGAGAGAGAAGGCAGTGGGGATGATATTATGAGACGAGAGAAAAAAGGGGCAAATTTCAGAAGAAAAGATCGAAATGCCTTTGGGACAGATTTTCAGAGGATGATTCTTGCATAGTAAGAAATAGAGGATTGAACGACATCATCGACTATACATTTTAATCAAGGCCTTAGGCATGGAATAAATTACCCAAAGAATAAGAGAAGGTAAAGGGGGGGAAAAGAGAGACCCTATAACACAAAATCTGGATAAGGCCATTTTTTGAGAGAGGTAGGCAAGAAGAGAAATGTAGAGAGATTAAGAATAACAGCCAGAGAGAAAAACAGTCACAGTTGACAAGGAGATGAGATTCAGGGGCCGTGGTTAACCGTTAATGCCAAATGTTACAAAGGAGGTGCAGATAACTAAGAAAAGTGCATCAGAGTTGACTGTCAGATCCTGTTGTTACATTTACGAGTTGAGGAAGGAGTTGATTTGAGGAAGGAGTTAGGAGCACCTGGCAGGTTTCAGTGCAGTAAAAAGTGAAGTAGCCGAGGCTTCTCCTTCACGACTTTTAGCCATGAGGAGTGAGGTTCTGGCCCAGGCAGAAGCGGGCTCAAAGAAAGTTCTTTCCTTCCACTTTTTTACAGTCATATTTATAGGCTGAGAAGAATGAGTGGAAGAAATTATTGGTGGCACGAAGGCTCTGAAGAGGTTGTGAGAAATTCGTACAAAGCACAGAGAGCTAGATAAACATTTAAAAAGTGCAGGGACCTTTATTTATCCTGGAGAGAATCTTCCCAGCTTCTTGCAGGAGCAGGTTGACCCTTTTTTAAAACCCCTGGCCTTTGCATAATGTGTGGTGCATATTAGATGCAGGATGAGTCAATGGGGGGCAGTTTAGTTAAGATCCACAGTGCTCAGGTTTGTCAGTTGCCTGGGTCCATTGGACGGTAGTGATTTTCATGACCACCACTGCACGTGAACTTCCCAAGTGACTAAGAGGGAAAAGCAACTGCAGCTAGAGCAATCTTGGTGTGTTGCCCGGTCTTCCCCCTGCCCGATCCCCCTCAACAAACCAGAAAGAGAGGTCAGGCATAAGTATCTCACATGCCATACACAGGGACCCCTCCCCTTGGTTCTTTGCCACATAAATTACTTCTGCTATTGATTGTATGAGGAGTCAGGTGGTTTTGTGCTCCTTTGGAAACCCTTTACTGTTTAAGGTGATTGCCCTCTGGTGGCCTGGTACATACTGTCCTCAGAAAATAAAAAATTGATGAGTATCTGCAATAATAATAAAGTAATTACTCAGGAAATCAGATATTTGGAAAATGAAATGGCTAATAGAGTATCATCTGAACTGTACATGCTGAGACATATGCAAATGTGTTCTCCCCATCTCTGATCTTATATATAATATCAGGATATGTTAGCATTTAATGTGATAATCCATATTATAATGCACAAGTAACATCCTAATACCTGATACCTAGGACATATGCATATCTCCAGACCAGATCTTAGAGGAAAATATCATTCTGAGAATGCTGTAGACTTTAATCTTTTCGTCCATTTCTGTGTCTTCCATTTGAAATCACAATGTCATGGAGAAACCATGAAAATTAGGCTTAAAAATGAGATCAGGACAAATTGATCTCTGGAAGGAATACAAACAAGCTTTTTTGCATTTAGTTTTCATGAGATCCATACTGGTTCATAAAACATGTACTGTATGCATAATGTGGTTGTCTGTACCTGCAGCATTTTAAGGAAGTGATATAAGGAGATTTGTTCTTTTTAATGAATGAATATAGCATGAATTCTGCATATAGCGATTGATTTAGTGAGTAAAGAAAAAATGTGTGGGTGGTATAAGGATTTTTTTAAATTATTTGCTTTCTTGTTATTTATGATTTTAAATTTGATTCCATTCTTCAATGTTTCTTAAATGTAGTTTGAACAATTTGAAAGTACCATTGGATTTAAACTGCCAAACCATCGAGCTGCCAAGCGTTTATGGAAAGTATGTGTTGAACACCATACTTTTTTCAGGTAAGTAGAGATCATTTTGCTTTTTTCCTAAGGAGAAACTGGAGTGCCTGTAATCACTTACACTGAAAAAGATTGTTGGGAAGGAGAATATGGAAGCATATTCTCCTGTTCCTTCAAATTCGCTGTCACCAGATTTCTTAATAAGAAATCCTAAAAGGACTTGTGACTAAATTTGAAAGGTTTTCCTTACTTTGTTCTATATTTATCTGCCTCACCTTCTGTTTCTTTGTTATCTTTAGTGTCTTTTCATTATTTTTATAGGATGGCCACTTCAAGTGTCCAATCCATTTCTTACGATTTCAGTAATTTCTCAGTCCCCAGGACTCACTAGTCCATCAGATTTGTGCCCACTCAATAACAAACGATCAGTGTTCTCCCCACCATCGCCTACTTCATTGCTCTTGGGGTTTATAGAACCACAGGCTCTCTAGTTACATGGGATGTTAACGTTCCCTAGTCCACCCCAACCCCTGCTTTGCTCATAGCCTTGATAACATCCCTAGTTGATATGTACTGTGTGAATTATTTTTTTTTGTTATAAAATCAGATTTATTTAATTGCATATTGGATGTGAATCCTTTAGTACACAAAGCACTTCACCTTTCAGAACGGAGTAAAAAGCTAGCATTCTTAATATTTGATTTAATATTCTCTCTGGTGTTTTTTCTTTAATATCTTTAGATTGTTGTTACCAGAAGCACCTCCAAAGAAATTCCTTACGTTGGGCTCCAAGTTCCGGTATAGTGGCAGGACGCAAGCCCAGACCAGGAGGGCCAGTGCGCTGATAGACCGCCCAGCCCCTTACTTTGAACGCTCGTCCAGCAAACGTTACACCATGTCTCGCAGCTTGGACGGAGGTAGGCATCGCTTACTGACCGTCAGACTCTCCAGTGGTGCCCAATAGGATGAAGCCCTCATGGGCTTTCAGTAAACACAGACCCTCTTGGAGAGTATGAAATGGAAAGCACTTACTTGGTCTGTGGCTGAATGCCAAGTTTTAACCCCCATTCTAAACAAAAATGTGCCTTTGTGAACCTAATGTCTCAAAGATTTATATAAAATTACATAAAAGAATGGTACTTAGAGAATGAAGAGCATAGCTTTCTCAAGCGGGTACCCTGAATTTGGAGAAAGATTCTCTCATTCTAAATACTGTAGTCACACGCTCTGTAAGTAACCTGGTTCCCTTGCCAACAGATCTTAAATGATTGTCAGGTTTGTCTTAGGTGATTTGTTTCAGAAAGGAAACTATAAGTTAAATTTACCTGTTTCCAAAAAAGAATTATGAATAAAATGTGACTCATCAATCAATAAATAATAGCTTATAGAAAGGATGACATTCAAATAACAGAGCAAAGGGCTCTAAATGAAGTCCTCCTGGTTAATATTAATCACTGCACCAGATGGACTGGGAGAGCATTGCCGTGTAAATGTTGTCTACTGTTAAGTCAAATGTGTAAGTAAAACAGGGAGAGAATGGCTTAAATAGCATGTTTGAGGACTGGCATAATCACGAGTTTTCAGAAGGCTTTGTTTTGTGGGATGGTTTTGTATTGTATCTATAGTTACATGCAGATGTGCTTTCTGCTGCACTACTTGGCAGCTAGAACAATACTTAACTTAGGGACGGAGCCGCGGCCAGGCCTCTGTCTTCTAACTCAGAGCACCTGGAGGTTAGTTGTTTTATGGAAGACCTATCCTGTACACATAAAGAGTTAGAAGTTTCTGGCATGTGTGTACGATTTTAATAAGCACAAACATAAATAAAAATAAGTAAATGTTACAAGGGCCTGGGATCACCTTTCTCCCTACCTTTCTGCCACTGCTCATCATAGTTCATGACACCCCCTTGTGGTTGGTGGGGTGACAGACTCCCTGAATCCCCTGATTAAAAAGACTGTATTTTCCTAATGAGTGATGTAATGATAAACATTTTATAGAATGAGTGAAATTTGTGTTATGGGTGTTATGTTACGTATGTTGCTAGTGAAATGGAAAGAACACTCCCCTGGCGTAGGTAAATCCAGGCTGAAGCTCCGTTCCTCTAACCTGCACAGCAGTTGGTGAATGATTTAAACTCTCCCCGCCTGGTTTTTGGTCATCGGTAAAATGGGAGAAAGGCCACCTCTGACAGGGTTGTCGCAAGACTGAATAAGACATATGTCAGAGCACTCTTGTTAAAGATGCAATTATAATTATGTCAATAATTATATTGATAATTATTTTACAGGCTTTTGTGAAATAGCCTAGGAAGTTATTACCATTCTGTATCTTCCAAGAGTTTCCAGTTTTCAGAATATCTAATTTAGAGCCATACTTTTGGAATAAAATGCTTAGTAGGACTTTTTCAAGTTGGATTAAGATTCTCCTATATCCGTGTTGCCACTGAAGCTTCTCCTCGGCCTTGTCTCACTCTTCTTTCTCCTTTAGAGAATCTCTGTAAACTGTGTATTCTCTAAGTCAGTGCTGGAGGAGCTTTTGTAGAATCACACCTTTTCCCCTGAATACCACCCACTTTGTTCAGTGATGTGTCCCCAAGGGAACACTTGTGTGGTGAATGTTGTTTGCCTCGTGACCATTTGTGTGATAATGATTGCTGAGAAGACAGAAGACAATTGTGCAATAAATGTACTAATATCATGCTGTCTCTTCCTCCCTGCCCGAAAGCGATGTTAGTATGTGTTGTCTCACTCTCTGGGGTCCTGTCAATTCTTGTGTGTTCTCTGTGCTGTTGCTGAGCCAGGGGCCACTGCGGCATGATGGCATATAAACTGCTTTTTGCAGGGTTGCATCTTCTACGGAACAGCCTACCTGCCTGTTAGGAAACTGTCTCATACGAGCTTTTTCATCAGTATAACGAGATATAAGATATCTTAGTGAAGGTATTTTAGTGAAATGATTTACTATTAAAAGGATTTCAGAATATATTCTTACATTTATATAAATATAAAAGCAGATTATATTTTGCCTGTGATTAGCTACTGTGTATTTGAAAAGCAGCATTTATAAATTTCTGGTTTCCAAAATACTATATCTAAAACCTAAAATAATGAGATCAAATTTTTTAAATTTAACTGAAGTAAGCATCTCTTTCACTAAGACATTTTAGCTGGGATGAAAGGCTGTATCTTCTATCTTTTATGTTTGCATGCCTTGCCTTTGCATGAATTTCATTAGCAACGTTTGTCTTGTTTTCACAAATATTAGAGATGATTGAATGTATGCATACCATGATAGATATGTATGCATATCTCTTTAAAGTGCAGTAGAAATTAAAACATTTCTGCACTTCAGTTAATGGAGTTGCCATCTGAATTTTTTAATCTCTGCCAAGATGGTTAATTTTCATTATTACCCTCGTGGCTTGTATATTGTAGGAGACTTTTCAGCCATTATTAATAATACATTTTTTTTTAATTTCAGTGCTCCTTGGTGAATGGCACTTCCAAAGATATGTTCAAAGTCAAGTGTACTCGATCAGTTGTCTACTGAAAATTTTATTGGTTGTAGAACTTGCCACTTAAGTGTCTGGTGCCAGTGCCCAGTTACTCTGGGGTAACAGGCTCGGTGGCAGCTGAGCCTCCCATCCTTATGCTCACATCCACCCTGAGACACATCCTCACCACAGAGCCTGAGATTGGATGCGACTGTTCTGCTGGCATCAAGAGAGGAGCTTTTATATCATTTTGAAACACTAGTGTAGATATAGAAAGTTGAGCCCAGGGTAGCGCGTAAAAGTACCCGCAGCGCTGGTTTGTCTTTGAAGATAAATCGGTATTTTTTAGGGGTATGTTTTTCGTAGTGGGACAGTTGGTGGTATTCATCTGTCTTCTGACTTAACTATTTCAGACTTTATTTCTTCAATTGTATTTGCTTTTAGCATCAGTGAATGAAAACCATGAAATATACATGAAGGATTCTGTGTCCGCTGCAGAGGTTGGCACTGGCCAGTACGCCACAACAAAGGGCATCTCTCAGACCAACTTGATCACCACTGTGACCCCGGAGAAAAAGGCCGAGGAGGAGCGTGACGAAGAAGAAGAGAGGCGGAAAAAGGCAGAGGAAGCCACTCCCGTTGCAGCGGTCCGGCACGAGGGAAAGGTACTTCTCCAGGCGTCCTCCTAGGGCTTGCTCGCGCTGTAGAGAACTGCTAAGTGGTACTGAGCATATAAACGAGGAATGTGTTAAGACGTAGGCTAATTCATGTTTCAGCTTTTAGTCACATTCTTATTGTCAAATTTAAATTGTCCTCTGTCAACATTTTTCCTCTGAAGGATTCCTTTTCAACTTTTTGAGCATTTTCATTTCAATAACTGATGTGCTACATAAGACTTTCAACAGCTGTCCTGTCTGCATTTTTTAAAAAATACATTTATTGGAGTATTACACTTTTTTGTTTGGCCTACATTTTGGAGCTATCACTAAATCGGTTTTCTTTGTTTCTGGTCCCATTCTCCTACCCACGGAGTGCATATTTTTCTAAATATACAGTATAGCGATATTGCCATTCTTCTGACTGCAGGTAATTGAAGGACCATAGCCTGTGTATTTATACAGTGTTTCCTCTCTTAGTGTCATGATTATAATCTAATCATCAGAGTAGCAAGTGGGCATATTTGGAAAGTAATATTAAGGCAGAAGTTTGCACAGGAAGATGGAAAGTGAATTTGGCAGCAATTTCTCCAAGGTGTTTTTTTTTCTCATTAAATTTTACAACTTCATTTCACCCAAAATTCAATTTATTTTTAAATACTCTGTTTAGTTTTGGTGATCCAACACTATACAGCAACTTTTTAGAAAAATAAGTCAAAAGCCATGTAGACAATCTACTTCTGGTTGTGGGTTTTATGTGTAGCAGAGCAGCCCCTAAAAATCAGAAAACATTGGCACGTGCAATAATGTCAACATTAAAAATTTTTAATAAAAAAATTTGTAAAAAAATAAATGTGCAATCATTCACCAAAAAAATAAAGACATTGGGAGGTTTATATATAATAACAATGGGAAAGAATGAAAGTACAGAGTGAAAGGAAATAGCCCAATAAAAATGCTGTGTTAAAACCTGTGTACATTTGATGCAAAATGTCCTTTTGCACATGGGCTTTTCATATATAGATTTATATGCAGGGACTCACCACCTGGGACTCTATAGAAAAATGCTTCTTTTGACAAGAATTTAACAGTGACAGCTAAAAGGGTATACCAACAAAAATATGTCATTGTTGTAGTTATGTTAGGATATTCCAAATGACCCAGTCCATCATTTATTTAGGATAAAATTGTTTGCCAAACGGGATAGGAAATGACAGCAAAAATATTAAGATCACTTGTGCTGTTAAAGGGTGCTTTGTTCTGAATTTTGTTTTTATACCCTCTCTTCCTTGCAGTAAATTAAGGCAGGTTTTAAATAGGACATGAAAAGAGAATATACCTGAACAAGCGTGTTCCATGATTTCTTGAAATCACCCATGCCAACATATGATTCTCATGGGTGTGTAAATATGATTAAGTGGCACATAAAAGTAAATGACTTATTTTGCTTCGAAAATAGATCCAGACAGTCTCACTTTATTTTATTTTAAATATCAGCAATTTGCTTTACATAAGATGTAGCATGAAGCAGTCATCACTTTGTGCCATTTATGCCATGGAAAAGTAAAAACCACAGAGAAAACTAGGACTCTCATAGTCTGAATCTCTAAGAAGCCAGCACTCTGACCCAAAGGTGCTGCAGAAGGGCTGAGGCCAAGACCCAGCGCTGAAGCAGGTGGATGGCTGTCTTCATTTTCCACAGTGGAAGCTTTTAGGAACCACCTTAATAAGCAACAGGAAAGATTACGTCTTAACTTTATTCACCATCTTCAAAAAGTAACATAGAGGGTACTCATTTTTTAAAGAAAATGAAACTGCATTACTAAAAATAGTTATTAAACAACTGATCCCCTATTCCTTTGAGAGGAGGCATGTTTCCCAGCTACGCTTGCCCCAGGTGGCTGGGTGGCCTTTGCCACTGCGGGAACAATTGTCCGCCTGCAGAAGTCAGCTCATAACTTCTACGTTATTCTCAGTTGAATGAGATTTGTGCGGGGTCTTGTTTAAAACACAACGTTTAATGTCACATGTGAGTGCTAGGAAAAGACATACTTGTATAATACCAAAAAGAGACACTTCTAAATTCCATTATATCATGATGTAATTTTATTTGTGCCTTTTCTCACCCTTTGTGTCTATAGTTACCAAGTCAGGATTAGATCACCACCACAAAGCAGGTCCGGTAATTTCCATGCTTATCAGGTCACTTGGCAAAACACAGGTATGTGTGTGTACACATACACACGCAGACACACACGCACAGTGTCACGGAGAGCAACAGAAGTCTAATTATCTTCAGGCTCCATGTGACTGCAACTTGAACTCCTGGCTGCACAGTGGTTTCAGCGCTGTGCCCAGGTCCTTTTGGGGGCTTGCTCCTTTCCTTCTTCCTGTCACATCGCAGCCCTCTCCCACCTGCAGAGGAGACTGGCTGTGGTCCTTCAGGCTGCCAGGGCCAGAGCCTCACTTTCCCGCAGAGGCCTGAGCTCACTGGGAAGCACATTTGTGAGGTTGCCTGCCTTTAATTCTCTTCAGAGCTCAAACCAGGGGAGTTAAACATACCATTTATCTGCTAAGAAAAACCAGAAGGCTGGGAGTTTATATCTGTCTATTATTCATGGGCCACAAATAATACAGAGTAAACACTTGTAAGCCATATTACCAGAAAACACATTATTTTTGCTTGTTAGCTTGTTGAAACCACTTATTGGAGTTTAAGTTCCATTTACATCATAGATAAAGGAGCCAAAGTAAGAATTTTCAAAGGAATCTCAATTCTTTGGGGAGAGTCAGACTTCCTAAAATGCTAATTGTTGAATTCCCTAATTGGAACTGCTTGTCACATAGGAGTGGGGCCAGAAACTTCTTTATTTGAAACTCACCCATTTGGGATGTAATTGACTAACCAAGGAAAGGTAATGCTGGAGGTTTCTTTTTACATACCAGAATTTGGATTCATTTTTGTTTTTACTCCAACTGAACCACAGTAAAAGATCTGTTAGCTGGAGATCAGGAGAAGTTATTGAAAGTCTTGATTTTAAGTTAGTAGAGTTATAGTTGCTCGCAAAACCCTAAACTTTCTAGAGCTATTAATCAAAGCAAAATTTTTCGATCATGTGAAATGTAGACTTTGAGATTGCCCACAAATATCTTTGTTCTCACTTTTTTAAAAGTCAGATTTGATGGTATGAGGGGAAGTGGTAGCCATTCGTGGTGGTGTTGGCATGCAGCTTGAGTGCTTTAAAACTCATGAACAACCCTAGTGCTGAAATTCTTGTTTACAATTTTATATTGATACCCATAGAAAATTAACTAATTGCAGTTTTCTTTTTGTCCTTTTGCACCTCTGTTTGCTGCTTTCTGTCTCTCTCTGTCTCTTTCACATCAGTCACCTGGGTTTGGCACTGACTCATGTCCCCTGTCCCCGCCATCAGCCCATTGTCCCGCCGCATCTCCCACAGGGCTCCGTAGGAGGTGTAAGGAGAATGACCACCAGCCTCCAGGTTTCAAGCCGTCTAAAGACACCGTGCCCGTGCACGGAGAGCCCTCCGTGGACTCTGACGGCAAAGGGAAGCCGTACCTAGGGGACCAAGATGTGGCTTTTAGCTACAAACAGCAACCTGGCAAAGGGGCCACTCTGTTCTCCTTCTCCTTGCAGCTCCCTGAGTCATTCCCTTCTCTTCTAGATGATGACGGGTACCTCTCCTTCCCCAGCCTGTCCGAAAGCAGCCTCCTCCCCCAGAGCTTGCAGCATTACCTCCCCATTCGCTCACCCTCCCTCGTGCCCTGTTTCCTTTTCATCTTTTTCTTTCTGCTCTCCGCCTCCTTCTCAGTGCCATATGCCCTTACTCTCTCCTTCCCTCTGGCTCTGTGCCTCTGCTACCTGGAGCCCAAGGCGGCCTCCTTGACTGCCTCACTAGACAATGACCCGAGTGACAGTTCAGAGGAAGAGGTGTGTACCTCGGCATAGAACACACTTCCCTGTCGTGGTCGGGGCTTTGGTCCGAAACAGGGTTAGATGGCTGCTGCGATAGTGGTCCTACTTTCAGAGCCTCATTTATTGTCTGTGCCAATCTGTGAAGAGAGTTTTGTGTGTTGGGGGAAACAACCCGGCCCCAGGGTTAGGCACAACACCATGTGGATGTGGCATCCGAGCCCAGGCCGGAATCACGCTGCTGCCCACTGAATTACACGGGTGGGGAAGGACTCAGCAAGAAGGCAATTCCAAATAATGCGGTAGCTGTGTAACAACCAGGGTTAAGTTAAAGGTTTTGTTCAGTTACATTTAATAAAGTAGATGACACGCAAGGCAGATACATAACCTTCGACTAGATTTATGGAGTGTTACTAAAATGTACAGCTGGTTCTCAAATAACGTTATTTCATTCAACATCTTTTCATTATAACATTGATGAGCTGCCATAGGAACTTAACTCGTTTACATCAGTGTATGGTAAAGTTGGTTTCACTATATGTCGTTTGCTTAAAGCCACAGACTATTGACAATGTTGAGGACTTACTGTCTCCTGATTTCATGATACGTACGTAGTGATGATATGGCCTAGATCCATGATTTTCAACCTTTTTCATCTCATGGCACACATAAACTAATTACTAAAATTCTGCAGCACACCAAAAACCATATTCTGTTTTTTGCTGATCTGACAAAAAATAGGTATAATTTTGATTTATTCACATGGGACAGCTATTGTGTTGGCTGTTGTCATTTTTTTATTTGACAGTCTAAGAGAAAAGAGGTTAGTGCCCCTGACTAAGTAGTCAGGTATTGCATGTTTTAAGAATTCTTGCAGCACACTGGTGGAAAATTGCTGCTCTAGATAAATGCTACTCAAGGTGAGGTGGGAGAGACCACCACCATAGGGGATATATCATCATCATCATCATCATCTGGGGAGCTTTACAAAAGTGTGAATGCCTCTCATCCCTGGAGATTATGAAATGTCCCCACCACTGTCTTCATTGTCATTGCCAGGCTGTCATTGTTACTCACAGAGATGAGCAGATCCCATGGGTGTTTTGGTTCAGAAAGGTTTGAGCAGTTTAAAACGCCCACATAACATCATTCATTGGCAGGGCCAGACACCAGACCAGAAAGAGCTGCCATTGAAAACACCAGTTTTCAAGCACAGTCAGGAAAAGACTCACTTAAGATTTCTATACATTATAAAAACAGCTAAAATTTCATCAATACTGGCAATGCCAACCCATACATTGGACGATTCTTTCAAATCCAGCATGAGCCAAAACCCCCACACACATTTGGACAGTCTGGAAAGCCAAGGAAGTTGGATGGGCCTTTATGGCTTTCATCCAGGCAATTGTTTAGTGGGGAAAGGACTTGAGCCTTCAGCCTCCATGCATGAAGCCGTACCACCTGTCTGTTTCCTGTCCCTCATCCAAGCCATTGAGCGAGCTGACGTTGGAGCCAGAAGTTTTCCCTCTTAATTGCTCTCCTTTCCCACCACTCCATAGCTGTATGAACAACCTGGGAACAGCAGTTTCCCTTTCTACAGGCTTCAGACAGAGCGCAGGGAAAAAACAGAAGCTGCCAACAGAGGCACCTGGCTGCCACTACCCTCCTGCCCACACCTCCCCCAGGCCCCTCTAGCTCTTCTGTTCCCACAAAAGAAGGGTTTTTTGTGGCAGGAGACAAGCCAAGTACTCCTAGCATTAAAAAAATTTACAAAGTCAAAGCAACATTATAAAAAGAAAAGAAAGTCTTCTCAGTTTTTGCTCAGTTAGAAATCATGTGAGCTGCACCTGTGAGTATATAGTATTGACAGGGTGTGTAGGTATCTATATCTAGCCCAGACCATTGTGACCATTTCTTTGCAGCAGAAGGAAAAAAAAAAAAGGGAATGGTTTCCTAGATGTTTCAAATAAAAGTTTAAGTTTTTCAATTTGATATTGCCTAAGAGCCCTTTTCAAGGATCTTGGGTCATATATGACTTAGCTCCAAGTATATATATATATAACTATTTTCATACATGGAAAATATTTTAAGAGGAAACTAGTTTTAATCTTAGACTTTAATAGCACTCTTTCTCACAGTGGCAATATTAGCAAATAATATGAGACTAGAGCATACAGCAGTGAAGATCACAATTTTATCTACAAAGACTGTAGCTTAATTCTAACCTGGACATGTATTTTCCCTTTAGCAATGGAGTTAGTCGTCAGACTAATATAAAGCAAAAAGATTGCCATTTTATGCTTTCTGAATTCTAAATAACTGCACTTACATGTAGCAAACCACACAGATCTTGTGCCTAATCCAGGGTATACATCTTGTTGTAATCAATGCATGAGAATGTTAAACTTGGGCATGTCTGCATTACATCGGCAAAACAAATCACAGCAGTATTTGTTGCAAGCTAGTTGCCGCGGGACTGGAGCTTCCCAGTACGTGACTCCTTGTTGTTGCAAACCTCGCAGACCGTGGAGCAGCTCTGGCCGCTGCAGCTCTCCTGCCCATCCTCTGCAGCCTCGGTCAGCCACGGCAGCTCTCCTGACACAAGACTTCGTATTTGGCCATCTGTTCAATGTCGTCTCTTAACGCCAAGCGTTCAGAGCTGTGCACTCTAGTTCAAGCTGAGCTAGAGAACTCATATGTAGGTCATTCAGTTTAAAAAAAAAAGGTCATTTGTTTACATGGCCTTTTTCCTTCTCCAGGCCTCAAGCACTTTGGCAGCTAAGCTGGGTGACAGCATAACATACAGTTCAGCGCCGTGACTTTCATTTTGCAAAATAACTGATGGCCATAATTCTTTTTAAATATTTTATCATGACTGCTTACATTTTCACCTGGCTTAATTACTTCCAGCCTTTCTCCAGAGTGAAACCCAATGCAGAAAGGCCTAATCATTGCAAACATAAAGCTGTTTGTTGGCCAGGGATTTTTTTTGTACTTTCAGAATGGTCAGATAAGAAGGGGGAGTATATCAGATTGCCTATCAAGAAACATAAGATGAATGTAGCTCACCATGCCATAAAATGTAATTACATGTGACTTTCCTAGGAATTTTTTGATAATGCAAAAAACAGAAAGATAAAATCAAATCTGGAGGAAAAAATTGATCACTTGATTTTAACATTTTAAATTGTGAAAACAGTATTATATGATAGTTCATGACATGCTATACATTTTGCAGTTTTGTATAGTGATAGTATATTATAAAAATAACAGTTGCTCTAAAAGCTGTTTTATTCAGCCTTGATAACTTCATTTATTGACCAGGCACTCTGTTTTTTGAATGGCTGACTGACTAGGTGCTAAGTAGGAATTTGATGGAGTTTAGAATGGCCTAAGCTAGTGTTTGTTTGTGTATAGCTAGGAAAAATAGTAGTAATAAATATGTAATATTATATTAACAGCAATCTACTGCAACTATTATAGGTATTTTTAGTTCTGTGTGTGTTAATCATCGTATAAAGCACTTAGTGTCCATTACTTGGTATGGTTAGGATTATTTTCACCACTTTACTAGAAGGAAGTTGGGATTAAAACATGAAGCATGTGCAATGTGTCACAGATTTGAATAGGAAGGATTTTAGCTCATGTCAGTCTGACAGCAGACCCCTCACACTTCACGACTGTAACCTAAAGCCAAGATGCTTGGAAAGTTCCTGATATAAATTTTAAAGCCATAGGGAAATAATGTGTACGAGGAGAAATACGTTCAAGAACTTTTGACATCTTTGACACAATTAGTTAGTATACTGAGCACAAGTAATTCTCCCGTGTTCTTGAAAGTTTAAGATTTTTTTAAAAATATATCGTTATTGATTTCAGAGAGGAAAGGAGAGGGAGAGAGAGAGATAGAAACATCAATGATGAGCGAGTCATTGATTGAGTGCCTCCTGCACGCCCCCTGACTGGGGATCGAGCCTGCAACCCGGGCATGTGCCCTGACCGGGAATCGAACCCCAATCGCCTGGATCCTAGGTCGACGCTCAACAGCTGATCCATGCCCCAGCCGGGTGAAAGTTTAAGATTTTTAGTTATTCTGTCCCCTTGAACCTATCTGTCTCTTCCCAGTTCAGATCGGCCTTTCTCTAGACGGTCAGTGGGTGAAGCCATGGTAATGCCATGACCAAGAAAATTAATAGCCACCCACCCCCAGGTGTTGCTAAGGTGGTCAGGTCATGAAAATGTATCAACACACTTTCTTTACCAACCTACTGAAAATTATTTCCCACTTAAACATGGTAGCAAGTGGCCAGAAAAGTGACCTCAGGTGTACCATTGCACAAATTCCAACTCCTTTTCTTTTAGGACTATATAAAATGGAAGCTTGGGTTAGTGCCAAGAGATCAGCCTAGCCAGAGTTATGTGAGCTTAAACAACACTGTCCTCCACTTGTCCCTTCCTGATATTCCTGGTTTTGGGGAATGAGAGATTATCTTAAGAGGCAGATTCACAACCTTAGAGCCCCCAGTTTTGATTTTTGCTTTCAAAATATTAATCACACATCTTTGCTCAAGAGAATTTAATAATACTTAGTTGATATTTGTAGAAGGAAAGTCAGTTAATATTGTATTAGGGCATTTAGATGTCCCAGTTTCAATGGCTATGGCTCTGCTCTCCTCCAGGGAAAATAGTTTTTGTTTTAAATCATAAACCTCTGAAACAGATTAAAAACCAGTCCTGAAATTACTAATGTAAATTCTCCCCTGAAAACCTAGGTTCTGACAATGCTGTGCTTTGTTTTATTTGTTTCCAAGTAGATGTTTCTCTCTCTTATTTTTTAAAAGTATTATTATTTGCTTAATTTGAATGGGATTTTTTTTGGAATGAGATGTTTCAACATATACTTTGATATACCTCTTTATATGGGAGGGTGGGGCAAAATAAACACATCACATAGTCTTAAAAATGTCTACTTAGCAAAACTACTTGAAAATTAGTTACATTTTTCATACATAAAACATATGCCTGTAAGTCACTGGCATGTGCTTTTTATAATTAATTGGTAATGCAGACAGCCTAGTGGTCATAAATGGATGTAAATTATCAAAATGGTATAAATGAGGGGCTGAAAGTCCAGTGACTGTTATAGTAGCTTTTTATTTAAATTTACCTTTCAGATGTCTGAAATATTCTAGAATAAAAAGCATATATAAACATTGAATTTATTTGCATTAAGTATTTTTAGGAGATCTTTCCTGGGTTTTAGTTAAAAGGGGGGGAAAGAATGACAAATTGATTTTCCCGGGATCTAAAACCAAACAGGTCAGCTTGGCTAGCGCAGTGTCTGCGGTTCCCGCAGGCTGTGTGCCTCTGGTCTTCCTCTGAGTGGCTCTGCTGGTGAAGCCTAGCTCTGGCCTTCCTTTTGCTTTTGCTTGACCCTGCATTCTTGTGGGAAGGGAGTGTCATTCAGATCACAGAGAAACAGAGTGGACTGTTTGGCCTGCGCTGGGCCCCATTAACCAGATGGGTTTGTTTTCTATTCCTGCCTTCCTCCTGGAACCTGATCACTCCTGTGATCAATAGACGGACAGCGAGCGCACAGACACAGCGGCCGATGGGGAAACCACCGCCACAGAGGTTGGTATGATAGCTGAGGGTGGTGGCTCTGCATTTAGGAACTTTGCATATTAGCTTTTAGAGTGGAGAGAAATTCTAACCGTAACAGTAGGGGTTAAATCTTTTCTATTGCCTCGACCAGTGGTTCCAAACATCTGGCCTGCATCAGAATCCTCTGGAGGGTCCCATCTCATGGTTCTCATTCAGAAGAAGGTCTGGGGTGGGAATGGAGAATTTGCCTCTCTAACAAGTCCCCAGATGTTGAATCTGTCCATTTTAGTTAGAAGCACATTTTGAGAACCATTTGGCTAAACTGATAATACTTGTTTTTAATATATTCCCTTATCCCAATGAGAGGCTGTTTATGTATCAAAGCCATGATGCATGGGGAGGAGCATCACAATTAATTTAATTAGCTTATTGACTGGGTACAGATATGTATTTAAATCCCAAATGGTCAAATAATACTTGTTAAAATAATAATGCTTCTTTTAATCCATTTTTGTAGACTGGATGTAGCACAGGTCACTCAAAATAAATGAGTTGTCTAAGGAAGAGAAAATTAACAAATAACTGTTAGTACTTTATTGAAAACATAATATAGAACAGTGATAGGAACGATACTATGCTATTATGTATCCTTTATTAAATCTTTAGGATGCATTAAATGTGTGTGTGTGTTTGTGTGTGTGGCTTACGTTGTTTTTCACATCATCTCTACCAGTAACTAATTAAAATTTCTGTAAGACCAATATTTATCTATAGCAATGGAAGTCAAGATGTTCATTTCCTACAGTGCTAGCAGAATTTATTTTTCACTTTGCGATAATTTTACTTTAGGTTATTTTTTTACAGCATTCAATATTAAATACCTAGTTCGGTATTTAGAAAGAACTAAATATTGTAAGTAGTATCTGTAAATCATTTTATTAAAAATATCTTCAGAAAAGCATTTCTAAATGGAGTTTAATATTATTGAGTATCTTCCTTTGGAAATGCCAGGGTTCAATTCAAAGCTTAGAAATCACAATTTTTTTAAGTTAAAAGTAATATTGTAAAACTATTTTTCAAATTCTTTGAAGTAATCCTATGTAAATTTATTAAAAGTTAATAATTTTCTATGACAAAATGTAACAAAGTACATTTTGATTTTATAAGATTAGTTACAAATAGCTACACGTTAATGTTTAATAAATTTCATTGTAATCCTAAGTGCTATAAATGAAAAATATTTTAATAATACTTTAAGTTTATATAGCAGTTTAAAATTTGGTTGTATAACATCTGAAGCATGAAAACAAATACATGTAACATAGGTAGACTGTGAGGCTTAAAAATAAATGAAAAGCTGTGAACCCACCACACACTTAAGAATTAGCACATCATCCCCACTGTGTTAGAGTTAACTGTGCCCTCTCTAGCACCTTTTAAACAATTACCCTTTTCTTTCAGGAACCAGCATAATAGTATAGTGCAGGGTGGGGCATGCTGGGCGGGCAGTCTTGTCCCCTTTGGCAGATGAGGGAACTGAGACCCAGATAGACTGATTTGCTTACAGCCACTTGCTCCAGCATTGCCCTTGTCTCGCCTGCAGTTTTACTCTGGGCCTTCTCTGTAGCACAGGCCAGAAAGCCCAGGCCCTGGGTGCACATGCGGTTTGGCCTAATTACCTAGTTTTTGGTACTTAGAATTAGACACGTCCTTGAAATTAGAGTGGAAGGAGAAATGGATAACAGAGTTGCATTTAGGTAAATTTTTTGTATTTTTTAAAAACTCAAAAATTGTGCTATCTACATTTTAAAAGTAACGATTGATGGTAGTTGATTTTTATAGAAATTTTCTTTCTTCTTATCTTTTTCCTGCCATCCCAAATTGGTTTTTAAGTATATGGGTTCCAGAAATTACAGGTTCCAAGAAATTTTTAAATGTGAGAACCTCTGTGTTAAATTTTTTGAGCCTCAGTTCTCTGGCCTACAAACGGGATAACAATAGCTAACCTCATAGCATTATTATGAGGATTCATACACTATAAGGGAGCTCTCATTATTGGGAAATCATAGCCATTCTTATAAATTTTCATTTTAATGGGGCTCCCCACACTTCCTGAACCATTTCTAACATCCATTAAGGACAGCCCTCTAAGCGCTTGCTGCCACCTCCCAGGCATGTGTGCACACTCCTCGCACTTGGAAGTCTGCAGGTTAAAGAGGCGAAGACCCACTGAGCACTGGATCTTATACTCCTGTCTTCTTATTAAGCTTTATAATTTGTGTGTGAGAATGTTGTGGTTTGCGTAGAGGAAGGAAATAGCATTTGTAAGCAAAAGCAAACTAGTGCCACCTTTTAGGAAGTTCATATAGACGATAGCTCTTTAGTCTCAGAGTCACGTGCATGGTAAGACTTTATTTCCCACTCTTTTCTGATGCTGGCAGTCGGACCAGGAGGAAGATGCAGAGCTCAAGGCACAGGTAGAAAATGAAAATAAAACAATAGCAAAAAACAGTGTGCGATAAGCCATTGTTCGTGCGTGGTGTTCAAGTCTTCCAGCATGCTCCATAGCCGGGTGCCATGTACTTGGTGCCGCGTGGAGGACAGATGTGTCCAGTGATGCCATGTCCCTTACCTTTCCCTTTCTTCTCCACTTTTTTCAGAATAGTCTGATTAAGCGAATAAAGGGTGGAAATGTGTATGTCAAACATAGTAATCTTATGTTAGAGGTTGGTATGAGTATATACCAGTGCATGTTCATGTGTGTTATTTCTCTCCGTGGTATACCTGTGAGCTCATACCATGATGCATGAACTGGGTGCTCTCCCCTGTGGATACGTGGGGTGACTTCTCACTTTCTCTGACTTCCTTCCTCTCTCTTTTCCTGTGTGTGTATTTATGTTAATTCTCTCTGGTTACATGTGAATTACACACTTTACAGTTTACCTTTTAAAACTTAATTTTTGTGCTTGCGTGAACTAGATTCCCCTCCCCTCCTTTTCCTTGGAAATATGACATTTTCACCAGAGTGTTTGTGGTAGTGTCATGAGCCGTGATCAAAACTTTTGTTTTGACTTCTAATGAAATTAACATTACTTTAAAAAAGAGAGTGAGTGAGAGAGCAAAAAAGGGAAATAAATGTAAAATGTTGACTGTTGGATTCTTTATGTTCTGAATATAGGAGCTAGATAAAGCTCAAGATGACCTGATGAAACATCAAACCAATATTAGTGAGCTGAAAAGAACCTTTTTAGAAACCTCCACAGACACTGCCATCATGAATGAATGGGAAAAGAGGCTTTCTACCTCCCCAGTGCGACTAGCCGCCAGGCAGGAGGATGCACCCATGATAGAACCACTTGTACCTGAAGAGGTCGGTATTCAGGCTGTTGGTTGCAATTGTCTTCTATTCACTAGACTCACTTCTCTACAGGGTCTGCACCGGGGGAGAGGATCTGGCAAGCTTCTGAGTAGAGAGTCTCGCCATTTCTCTATGTGTAACCTGAGCTGGCATACTCAGTGCTTCAAAGAAAAGCTGCAAAGTAAAATGATGAGAGGCTAAGGAGTGAGTTAGTCACATCAGATGGTACTTAGCGTGAACAAGGAGCCATGGGGAATTACCGTGCCCGTCGGCTCATTCTAACTGTTAAACCTAGACTCACAGCCGAGAGAAACTGAGGTACTATCTTAATGAACTGCCAGTTTTCTGAATATGCCTCTTCTGCTGCATTAAGAAATGCCGTGAAAACTCACGTATGCTTCTCACCAATTGCAAGATGAGGGCTATGGAGGTTGCCCAGTGTTTGACTAAATGGTGACCTGAAGTTGATACAATTTCAGGACATACTTTATTCTGGGAATGCTACACCAGCCTTTTACTGGTATGATCAGTATTTTATTTTTATTTATAACTGATTTTATACATATAACTGGTATTTTAAGTGATATATAACCAGTTCTTATTTGATTTTTAATAGAGAAAGTAAGGCCAGAATATCTTTTTAAGTGAGACACTTCCATATAGGAAAGCTCTTTCTAAGTTACAGACAGAGCGTGGAGAGGGTTCAGCTGGTGTGACTTCAGTGCTCCCATCGTGGGACTCACAAATAGCAGTGGTACTGACCTGACTGCCGACTATTAGGCATCATCTGTCTTTCAAAGAAGTCACTTTTAAAAGCTGCATCTTTCTAGCATCATGATGATTTATTTCTTATAAGACTCCGTTATTGTGAGATATTTGTCCAGGAAGTTGAAACACAACAGAAGAAAATTAAAACTTAGGCCTTTATGGGAGAAAAAATTTTTAAACAGTAGTCTATTTGCAATGCTTAGGTCCCTGCAGTGAAAAAAGAATGTAATTACACTCATTGTGGTCATTTTTAAAACTTCCTTTGAGAGCTGTTTATCAAAAGTGACCACAGTCACTATACTATCTTCATGACCATTCCAATCCCAGCGAAAAAGTGACCGGGCATATATCTATTTGAATTACTTCAAAAAGAGCCCTTTTATCCAGAATAAATGGAAAGTACTATTACCAAAGTATTCCTTTAGCATTAAACACCAATTTCAATCAGGTTACTTGAGTTTCAAGAGACAAAATTGTCATATTCCAGTTGATTTAGATGTTATAGTCCCTGCATTAGTAAGAATGCCACTTGTTAATTATGATTGCATAAAATTTCATTGTAATTGGTCAGGTTTGGCTTACTGTATGTCTGCTGTCTCTGTTAGAAATAAGATCATTTTGGCTCTGAGGATGGCAGACATTGGATTAAGTTACAAAAAACAAAGAATAGCCACCCAAACTGAAACAAACCATAAAAGCCATGCCTCTTAGCAATTTGTTAGTTAGGAGCAGGGTAGATGGTAGCCACTCTAAAGTTTATTTTAGGTGGACGCTTAGAGAAGTAAAAGGTTGGCGCTAATAAACAAGGGACCTTAAAATTTTTTTTCACTTATAAAATCCTCTTATTCTTAGAGAATGACGATGAGCCTAAGAAACATTAATAACTTGAAAAGGATACTTTGAACATAGGGAATTTCCCTGGATGTTAATGCCTTTCCTATGTTAGTGCAGAGAAGCTGTAGTGAGTCCAAGAAAGGATTTTTTTTTTTTTTTTTAATGATTGAAAGATGGAAACATGTCCTCTGCAGAAGAATAAAGCATCATTTAGACTGGAGAAGACCAAAGGCTGGCTTAGTAACTGCTTTCAAGTGTCTCCTAAGCTGTTAAGCAGGGGCTCTGCTCTGCCCCAGTGCTCCACTGCTACCACGAATAGAGGGAATTGTAGAAAGACTTGGTTAGCTGTAAATACAAGGCTGATTAACCCTGGTTATCAAAGGCTCTCAGAAAGAGCAGCCTTAAGGAGCTTTAAGGCCCAGAGGAAGAGAGGGCCTTTTTGGATAGGTCAGAGCTCTGGTGTTTCCCTTGACCTTGGGGCTGGACAATGTGGCCTAGGGGCTCCCTTCTAACCCTTGTCCAGGACCCTTGATGACATCCAAGTTTATTCTCCATTCGAGGGCCCTAAGAACAATCCAAAAAGTTTGCATGCTCTAAGTTCTTGCCAATTTCTATGTTAGGACCGTGGCTTTTGTTATTTGTTTTGTGAAAAGTGCAAAAGATAATCCTATCCTCCCAGCTATGCACATAGAAAGCATGTTCATTTACAAACATGTAACCAAAAGATTTCCATTTTAGGAGGGAGGTATTTTTCTAAGTAAATTACTAATTTGATACCACCCTATTATTTCATATGTCTTTCTTTAAGTAAACAGTAATTGACCAGTTTAGAAAGAAGTCCAGTTATTCCTAAAAGGAAATAATTAAATTTAAATTGTAAAAGTGACATTCCAAATAAAGCAATACTGTTTGTGTCAGAGGGTGAAGAAACTTTGATTCAGTGACCCCAAGCTAGTTGTATTTTTTTGGTAATCTTGGTTATAAAATGTCGTGGAAAAAAATCTAATTACGGCTGATTTTTAATGTGACCATTTTTTTTCTTTATCTGTGGTGTGTTTGACTCCTAAGTAAATATATATATTCTTTTCATCCTCACCCAAAGATATGTTTTCATTGTTGTTTGTTTTAGAGAGAGAGAAACATCAATGTGAGAGAGAAACATTGATCAGTTGCCTCCAGTATGCCCCCCAACCAGAGACCTAACCCACACGCTAGGTATGTGCGCTGACCAGGAATTGACTGCACACCCTTTTTGGTGCATGGGACTCTGCTTCAACCAGCTGAGCCACCCAGCCAGGGCAGTAAATGTATTTCTAGAAAATACTACCAATCTATGATTAGAAGAAAATTAAGAGTTAGAAATACAAATAATGAGCTAGTAATGGTGATGATACTCTAAGAATATTATGTATGTTTCCTATAAAATGAGAATTTTATTGCCAGCAGTTTCAAGTTTCAAATATTTGAGTTATTAGCAAGGATATATGCCCCAAAGCAGCAGATAATATCAGTCCTCATTAATAGACAAACCCACACACAGCGTCCACAGTCCATAGGAAGGGTGGGTGTGTGGTATGTGAAGAGTTCCAGGTACATCTTCTGTCCACAAGTACTTCCCATGTCACCTCCTCTGATGCACCCGAGCCGAGTCCACATTAGAGGCATATTCCCTCGTGGTTACTTGAATATTAAGAGCTTCCAAATTCCAGCCGACATGCGGTACCCATCAGCACTGACACAGGGCCAGTGTTGTCTTTTTCAACGTGGCTGGTTTTACAGCTATGTCAGCGTAGTGCAGCCCGGCCGCCTCATTCACAGGTTCCACGTGTGCCTTTGCTCACTCACTGAAATGTTTTGCGGCCCTGACATCAGCATTCGCAGCGCTTCACAGCCATTGGCAGGCAGGCTGAGGGTGGGGAACGTCAGTGGCTCGGTGCACACGCGCCCACCGAGGCTGAAAGGCAGCGTCCTGCCTTCTCGTTTTCTCTCTCATACTGTAAACGAGTGTCCTTTTCATGGCCTATTTAGTGCCACCTTTTTGCTTTTTTGTGTTTTTGCTGGTGATTTTGCTGTTTAAAGTGGCCCCCACTAATGGCATCGTGCTGAGTGCAGTCTAACGTTCAGCTAAGTGCGAGAGGGCTGCAGTGTGCCTGTGGGAAACGACGTGTCAGAGAAGCTTCCTTCAGGAATAGTGTTGCTGACCGTGAGTTCATGGTAATGGATCAGTAACATACAGGGTGTCCCCCAAAAATGTATACACACAGTGTCTGTAGATTCTATTACATTTTGAAAATGAAGTGTATTTTAATAAACATTGCCTTTGTAATTATTTAAAGTATGTATACATTTTTTGGGACACCCTGTATATTAGATATAAGGGTCTTTAAAGAGAAACTCATATAAAACAAGGTCATGTATCGATGTGACCAGAGGCTCACAGCAACCTAATCCTGTACTTCCCCAGTGGGGCAGAGTTTCAGCGTTCACTAGTTCATTGTTCATAGTGGCTTCATAGAACATAACTACCATGATTAACTAGAATCGATTCTATTTGTGCATTTTTCTGTTTTCTGGTCCAGTTCTACTTTTGCCAGTCAGGTCTTAGATGGACCTCAAATTGGACAGCAAAATCCATTCACCAGGGATCATCTATTTATGATTAGGAAGAATTATCTCCATCCTCTGAACCTGACTTCTGCGATTTTCTATCCAGGCCTTGGGGTGCAACTCTAGGTGCATATTAAAATTATCTATGGGAAAATTTTAAATACTGTTGTATACCCCACACATCACTATTATTTAAAAGCTCGCTACATAATTCTAATGCACAGCTCAGTTTGAAAACCCCCGGCCCAGGTAGAAGTGAGTCACAGCTCTGTAGAAACCCTCAGTTCCCCCAGGAGTGAGTACACCTCTGTGGATTTTTCCTGCCAGCACAGGGCCTTGTTTCCCAATCATGATACAGAGATGAACTTTTAAGTAACTAAAAAAAAGATTGGAGGATACATCTGAGACTATTCTAACTCGTTATATGAGTAAATGTTTCAATTATCAACTTTTCTTTATCAGTACCTCTTCTCTGGTAGCTGAACTAACTGGATTGGGGTTGACTATATGTAAGATTAATTTTACATATTAATTTTAAAATCGAGGCCTTTTGTTACCCTTTCTGTTATTGGACATACCCATTTCTGAATGCAGACAATGTGGACCTTTTCAGTTATAGACACAGACCTTTTTGAAATTAGTTGATGTCATATAACAGGATATGCTGAATACCACTGTTTTCCTCCTGGTTTTGTTTTTTTAAGCTTTCATCTTAGGAAAAATATTTAGTTCAGTGATTATAATGAGAGGCCTAGCAGTGGTATTCTGAAAAGTGCCTATAATTTTGACCTTTCTTTCCCGTTTCTTATTCCTGTTTGAAAAAGAGGCCATGATTGGAAGTAAAACAAACAAAAATCCACATTTAATGATTCCGCATGGTACATTTTGTCTCTTCCAGTACCTTTTTCCAAAATGGAGCAAGATGGGGATTTTTTTTTCCTTTGAAAGTGTCTTATTTGTTCCTCATTATATAGCTCTCATAAAGTTGTATTATTTACAGTAGAATTTATTTTAAAAGCTCCATTCTTCCAGAAACTTTGAACTTTCTGTTAATTCATATTCCTTTCTGTCACTAATCTATAGAGTTGCATGCTCTGCACAGAGATAGGGTCAGTAGCTAATGTCTGGCTGCTGAACTTATGCCTATTTAATAATAAAGGAATAAAAAGAAGATAAAAGGAAAAAACTAGTCCTAACATGACATATTTACTTTAACGTTTCTTAATTTGATATGATAAAGATAAGCATGATTTGAAATACTTAATTTTTCATCAAAATATTTTTTCAAATTGACTTTTTAGAAGGCTTCACCATCTTATAGAAGTTCAAATAGAGCTATTACCTTGAGTATATTTCATGTTTATTTGTGGAACGATAAAGAAGTCAGCCGAGGTATAACTGGGTTTATCTGAATCAGTAGCTGATGGAGTGACCCAGGTGTGTTTCTTCACTCTTTATCAAGCAGCACTTACATGGGAAATACAGTCAAGTATTTGTCAGAAACAGAAGTGAGGATTTATTCCTACCTCACTTTTTTTTAAATCTTAACATTTTCTTTTAATACTCACTTTGATGGTGTTGCTGATGACTGACATATGGACACTTAAATGCCAAGGCACCCTTCATATTGCTCTTGCATGTTCTGTGTTTGTAGCAATGATCAGTGTTTGAGTCATATAGACACCAGAGTTTCAGAAAAACATCTGTTGCTTTTTGGAAATAACTATCCAACTGCGAGATGGTTTCAGACCATTTTACAAATTAATAAACAATAATTTGCTTTAAAAAAAAAAAGAATGACTGTTATATGTATAGTACAAAGAACTCTCTTCCTAACTTGCCTTTTTGGGAACTGTCTACTTCCTCTTCTCCAACCCAACCCCCTTTATTCAAACAGACCAAAGAAGAAAGAGAGATTTCTGAAAAAGTTATATTTTTGCAGCAGGGAAGCTCTTCATTCCTTGAGTCTCAGGTAAAAAACAAACATAAAGGAATTTTCCAAAAGGGAGCTGCTCTTCAGACGGCAGTGTCATTCAAATGTCTTTAGTTTTGTTTTCTTTTTAAAATTTACCTTGCAAAAACCTGAGGTAGGTACATCATTTTTGCTAAGATTCTGGGGAGGGGAAGAGGAATTTTCTTACCATCGTAATTATCAATTAGCCTTCATTTCTTATGGCTTTTGCTCAAGGTTGGTGTATCTTTGTGTGGGCATTCCTAATAATATTATTCACCATTTGTTTTACCCATAATGTGATGCTAATTTAGATGACTTTGAGTGATTTTGAAAGTTCTGAACTTTTATTGGTTTTCCCACTAGCCCAGTGCGATAAAGGAAATGCGGGAAGGAGACTCTGCGGGCTCTGTGGTTACCTCTCATCAAATCATTTTCCAGAAAACTGTCCCATCGACCCTAGAGGTTATTTTTCACTTCATTTCATTTAATCCAGGAACAACAAGTTGATGAATCTGCAATTCTTTTTTGTAAGGCACACATATTTCTAGATTCAAGTTTTCAGACAGTGATAAATATGAAAGTAGAAAATATTCTAGTTTAAAATGTAAGCCAAGGTGCTCCTCTGCTCCTGGTTTGATTTCTCTTCCCTCTGTAATCTGTTAGACTAGTCAGCTGCCTGGTCACATCCTGTCAGGCTTCCTATGCAAAAGCTTCCTAACTTGCATTTCTTCTGCTTTACTGGAACTAACATAACACTAAGGAAAGTGGCAAAGAAAGTACTGAGACGATGAGCATCAGTTGTAAATGAGATTGGAACACTGCACAGGACACTGTAGCCTGTTTATAAAAGGCTCCAACAAAGTCCCAACAGTGGGAAATATTTCATTATAATTCCTTCAACACAGGCACACTCAATGTTTATTGGATAATAAGTGATATAATGGATTTGATCTCCTAAGTAAAGAAGTATAACTTACAAACATGAAATGATATGCACAGAAACTTGTGGAATGCTGGGAAGGCCTTGGTGAGAACAACAGATAAAAAGTACAGTGTTATGTTTCACATGGAAAACTGTCTTTTTGTATCAACACAAGTAAAGCTAAGTAACTTGTACAACCACTTCAATGATGGTATTTAATCTTAAAATACAGAATAATCAGATGTTTAACATACGATCACATATATTTCTTGCAAAATTTACCACCAAAGTATGTTTTTATTTAAAGAAATCTGAAATTGCAGCTCTACATGCAGACTGTATTCCAAGTTGAAGGTTAGAGTCTATAAATTTCAGATGAGAAGAGATTGCAGCGAGAATTATTAGATGACAGCAGCCCTGTGCAGTCACATGAATGTAGCTCTTGCCCTGATTTTCTTAAAGGATTCTTGTTTTAGAAATGAGATACCACCAGAGTTTCTAATTTAGCTTTTATATTTCAAATATAGGGCACAGAGGATTGGGTTATTGTAGACAAAATACCTACTGAGGTAGTTGGTGGTGATTCGAAAAAGATTGTGACTTACAAGGTGGTGACCATGAGCAGTAGAACTGGTGACATCCCTGCCGATGTGTTAAGATCTAGCACCATCGAAATGCAGAGCTTTGATGACCTGGCCCAAGAAATACAATTGAAAGAAGAAAGCAAACAGAAAATATACACCCTAGGGAAGTCCTATGACACTGTATCCGGAAAAATTGTCACTATGACGGAAAAAACTAAGGAGGAAGAGAAGGGAGGGCAGCCCTCCGGTCTTGAAGCGTTTCAGAGAATGGAGTCGGTGAAGATCATCCCCGCCATGACCGAGTACGAGGTCCTGGAGGCCATCGCTGATGAGAAATCCAAGAGAGGGCCCGAGGTCCAGACCCCGAAGCGGAGGTTGTCGGAATCCCTGGCTCCCATCAAGGAGGCCGAGTCCCGGCGGCCGAGTCCCGAAGAGGAGCCCCTTCCGAAAGCTCAGATGCGGGCCGGGGACGCGGCTCCGCACGTGGGCCTGGAGGGCGTGCGCTGGAGCAAAGCCGAGCAAGCCCCGGAGGGGGAGGCCTTAAAAGTGGGGCTCTTCGGGCCCAGAAGGAAGAGCCTGTCCGAGTGGAGGTACTCCCAGGACCCGGCCTTCAGCGTCACCACTGCTCATTACCTTACCCAGTCGGCCGCATCCCGAGTCGTGGTAACCAGTGCCTTTCGTTTGGGCCGCCGTTTCAGATTCCAGCATGACGTTTTTGAGGCAGCCCCCTTCCACCCTGAACCTTTCCGTTTCTCTTGCTGTTTGGCTTTATGTTCAGAGCAGCCAACCCAAGCTTTTTACTTTCGTCCCTGGTTAAGCCGATACCGCAGTCCAGCGAGCATCAAAACACTTTGCGTTTTGTTTCCAGCTGCCCGTTCCCGAGATGTGATAGTGCGGCTGTGGCTTGCAATGGAGGGAAAAACGATCTGCTTAAACCAGCACCGCCCCACTCCTAGTAACTCTCTGCTTTACCAAACAAGCTCTTGGTCACCTCGATTTGCTATTTTATTTCCCATTCTTTTCCGTTCCCAAAGTCTGTGGTAGACTCCATCCCCTTTCCCTCTCTCCTCCACCTCCGATTTTGTCTAACCAGCCGTGAGTGTGTTATGTGCCTCTGTGTGTACCCGTCTCTGTTCTTGACTCCCCATTTCTTTGTTCACTCAGACTAAGCAGTCTTCTGGTGAAAAGCTCATGGATGGCTCTGAAATCTTCAGTTTATTAGAGTCTGCGAGGAAACCAACAGAATTCATAGGAGGGGTGACCTCCTCTTCTCAGAGCTGGGTTCAGGTGGCCTTCTGCTTCCTTCCATGGTGTTCCTCCCTCTGCCTGTTTGCCTTGCTTTAGTTCTATGCCTTTTTGCTGCATGTGTGTGTGTGTTGCATCCAAGTGCACTTTTCCTCAAACATCTCAAAGGTGCCTTCAGTTCTTTTCCTTGGTGCCTTCTTGGCGTATCTGTCTGTATCTGTCATATGCATTCAGTCCCATTATAAGAACATACTTCAGATACTCAAAAGGCAATGGTGATGAGAAATTTTAATAGCATGTAATTTTTTAAAGCATATTATGTCACCTATTAGGTCCACGAAGCTTTTTTTGTTTGATTTTTGTTGGTGGCGGTGGTTTGTTTGTTTTTTAATTGTGTTTTATACTGCATTTTGTTTCTTTTGCGGATATCCCGAAGTAGCAGCACAGATTCAAATGTGTGTGTCAGGGCAGAGGGCAGGCATCAAAGATTCTGGTGGGAGGAATGAAAGCTAATTTATATTTTCTATAAATGTTTCTAGTTCTAAGCACTTGACACTGGCTTTGGGCATCCTGGTGAATGGTGTCTTTTGTTTGTTTGTTTTTTGACCTCTGGTTTATAAAGTCACACTGACACCATAATCTTTCCCCATGCAGAAAATGGAAACCAAGACGGAGTCCAGTGAAACAGAGACCGAAACAACCCAGCACCCCCAGCCACTTAGCGCTGAGAAGGTTGTGCAGGAAACTGTGGTGGTGGAGGAAAGACATGTGATGAATGTGCATGCCAGTGGGGATGCTTCTTACGCGGCTGGAGACGACGCGGATGCTGCAGCACAGGCAGCATCTGCTGATGCCTCTAGCGTTAAAGGGAAGGAGGGCTCTGCTCTGACCGAGGGGGCTAAAGAGGAAAAAGGGGAGGTGGCCGGTAAAGCTGTCCTGGAACAGGAAGAAATAGCCACTGCTTCCCGTGAGCCAGAGGAGGAGCAGAGTGTAGCAATCCACGTTTCTGAAACTTTGGAACAAAAACCTCATTTTGAGGTAACTAGTAGTTAATGTTACTTTTAGCACTAAATTAAACTGATAAAAGTCCTTGAAATTTAGTTAAGTATAAAGATGGAGCTAAGTTTAATTTTCTACCTTTTCCAAGTGCATTTTGTTTCTCCTCTTATTTCTGTCTTGCATGGCAATTATGGGTCTCATGCAAGCATATATAATGACTCTTAATGATGTATAGGTACAGGAAATGGTTTCTGCTCATCATAATTGTTGTAATTGTCGATAAACCTGAGAAATGCATGTCCAGCCAGGATATTAGAAATTTGATAAATTTATTTCTGATCAATGTAATCCTGAAGAACCAAAAACCACTCTTGTTCAGGTGCCAAACACCAGAACTTTATTCTTTATTCTCTTTTCTTGCAATTCTTAAAGTATTAGGAGCAAGGGAGTTATGTCTTATTACTTGTTCCTTCTTTCTAAGTTGATATTTTATGTGGTTGGAAATGATGCAGATGCTGCAGCTTCTGGCATTAAAGGGGAGGCTAATTTATGATTTATATTAAAAAGACTAATTTTTGATTTTTTTAATTTATTAAGATTAGTTTATGAGATCGAGGAGGGGGGACGTACAAATAGTTTCTTCCCTTCAAAATGCCTTCCTCTGCCTGGAACGTTTCATATAAAGACGCTGTGGAATTCTGGGAGACTGTTGGACATGTATCTTTGTGTGCCTCACTCCCCAACTTACCTAACCTCATGAAATACGTAAACATTTATTTCATACTAACCTGGGCTCATATATGCACCAAGCGGGGAGGGAAAAAAACAATACTGTGTTTGTAGAAACTAATGGCCACTCTCCCTGCTTCCCGTTGGCACAGGCATCCACTGTGAGGACAGAAACCATCAGTTTCGGCAGTGTTTCACCAGGAGGAGCAAAGCTAGAAATTTCTACCAAGGAATTGCCAGTCGTTCACACAGAAACCAAAACCATAACATACGAATCATCAGAGGTAAGACAGTGTAAAGAATCAGAGCCCTCGCACTTTGTTTTACCCCTTCAGTGGCTTAGTACATTTAATATAACTGTATGATTTTTAATTTGTGAGACTCATGACCCAGCAGCCAGATTGTGTTATGAGTGATGCAGTAATTATAATTTTATTACTGATTGTGGGGTAGCAGACAGCCTAAATAAGTCTTCCTAAATCTCAAAATGTAGAAAAAGTCTCAGACATCTATTTCCATAGCCATAGATACGGGATAATATTAGCCCAACCAGCCACTGCTCTCATTTCTCAGTCTTATTAATGATGGGTAACTCTGGCCATATCTGGTTCAGTCTTTACCTGTAGTTGCAGCTGCCAGATGTTGATTGAGGTGCACAGTGGTTGTGGAAGACAACTAAGTTATCATAACGACCTGAACTAATGTAGCAAACATCTGGAGCGGTAATGAAAGTATTTGAGTGTGATGTCTATTTCTCTGCTTGTGTAGGTTGATCCTAGTGCTGATTTGGAGCCGGGCGTGCTAATGAGCGCACAGACGATCACATCTGAAACCACCTGTTCCACGACCACCACGCACATCACCAAGGTAAGTGGAGTGGGAACTGATAAAGTAAGGCCTTCACTCGGAACGTCTTGGTTTGGCTGCATAAGCAAATAGTTATGTGACTATCAGGATGCCAGCATAGCTGCCTTGGAGCTTTCACAACTGCTATATTTATGGCACATTTGTCCTCATGGGCTAGTTTCTATTTGGGAATATACATTCTGATAACCTATGTTTACCTAACACTAATGCTTAGCGCCTGGTAGGTGCTCCAGAAACACTGGCCGGCCAAATCCAAAGGACTCCATTCCATCCTTGTTTCTGAAATTAACAATTTAAAAGAACTGCCATCCAATTGTTTCAGTTCTTAATGAGTGATATTATAATAGCTATATATGGTCTAGTCACATGGGCACTAGACTTACCGGGGTCATAACTCCATAAGCTATATAAATGTGTAATCACTATGTGTTGTACACCTGAAACTACAATAGCATCATAGGTCAACTGTAATTGAAAAATTAGAAAAGAAGACTGTTACTTAAAACTCGGTCAGCATCTTCTTCCATTTCCTCCACTGAACAATGATTGTTCCTCCAAGTGGGCAAATGCATAACGCTGGCCTCTTCCTTCCAGACTGTGAAAGGAGGCATTTCAGAGACGAGAATTGAGAAGCGAATAGTCATCACGGGCGATGCGGACATCGACCATGACCAGGTAGTGTGTGAGATGGTAAATACCCGTAGAGAGACGGAGAAACGCCTCTTGGCCCTCTTCTTCCCAATGTAATCTAAACAGTTTTCTGAATTAACTTTCCAATACACAGTGGACAATTCCTTTTACAATCATTGTACCTCATTTGTAAATTGCGTATATAGATCTAGCTCATAAGTCTCCACCTTGCTACTGATTGTGCATGTTCCACCTCCTTTTTGTCTTTGCCCTTCTGTGATTTCCTGGGGATAGGCGCTGGCTCAGGCAATTAAAGAGGCCAAAGAGCAGCACCCTGACATGTCAGTGACCAAAGTAGTGGTCCATAAAGAGACAGAGATCACACCAGAAGATGGAGAGGATTGACCCCAGGTAAGAGGTGACGCTGATTCTCTTGGCTTGGCCTCGGCTGGCATGTGGCATGGGGCAGTCTCCCCTCATCCTTCCCTGACTCCTCCCTTTCCTTTTTTCTCTCACTGGCATTTGCAGGGCTGGTTACCAAAAGGATGGAGAATTGCTTGGCAGGTGCAGGTTTGTTTCAGATTTGGAGATTCCATCCTGGGGACTTTTTGCACACACTGCCAGTTAGAGGAAAAAAGAAAAGTGGAGTCTTTGCTTGCGTGGCCTTGCTGGTGCTCCCTTTTAGTCCATGTCCTGCACTCTCTTCATTAACCAGTTTGGAAGGCCAGGTTTGATTTTCCTTGCCATGTGACCTACTCAGAACCAAGGTAGCTTTGTTCTGAAAGGTACAATATGTGTGTTCCAAATACTAGGGAAATAAAATATACTCCTTACTCCTTTGGATGGCAACATGATCCCATTATAAGCTTTTTCTTCAACTGTGTTTGGTTATAGCCTGTTTCTGCTTTTATTTTGCTTTCTTTTTTAATTTGAAACCTGAGCACTCACTTTCATTTTGGGTGTCTTATATTTTCTGCATTCTTCGGGTTGATTTTTCCCGCCCTAGTGTAGCATCGTGTCTCAGGAGGAGGAAAGATTCAGTCGTATGGCCCTGCTTTCCTCCAGCAAGCGCATGCCCCTGCAGCTGCTGCTTGGCCGGCCCCGGGAGCAGACAGCGTCCTCTGTGTGTGCACAGACTTGTCATGCGTACTAACCTGCCGTGCAAGAATCGTGGGGCTCTCGGCACCCCCGAGGGCTTTGAATGCTGAATGCTACTGATGAGCTACTTGCACACTTGGCTATGTGATAAAGTCTCTTAAATGTTTTACATGTATAAATGAAAGAACTTAGTTCTCTAACATTGGTTTAAGAAACATAGCTTCACGAGAAGGCTCTCTTAAAGAAAAACATAAAAAAACACTCAGATTCAAGTTAATAATGTTAATTTGGAAGGTAGATAGATAAAGTCCCTCTCCACAGAGCTTCAGTCACTTGGGTGATGCTGTGGTTACTCAAGACAAAGCGGATCAGTGACCTACTCCTGTATCCTACAGCATCTTGTCAAAAAATGCATTAAATGACCTGCAAGATACTTTTCTTGTGACCTTGATCTCAGATGTTTTCAAATGAGTAACTGATCCAATCTCTTTTCTACAGGAATAACTTAGCCTGCACAGGAATCCAGTCATGCAAACCGTTAGGAAAACCAGAGCCTATATGGAGTTCCCTCTTCTAACCCCACTGACTTGTATCTGCCCGTGGAAACTTTCAGTCCAGAAGAACAGCCCTTGACCGTTAATTAAAGACACTGGCAGAGAGATCTTCCCATAATAAAGCAATCCGAATCAGCATCACTAAACTGATATTGCATGAAGCAACGACAAAATTACGAAAGAGCAGCATTTTTAATTTTCACAAAATGTCTAAGTTTTCAGCTATACCTGCACGTTCATAACCAACAATATAAACCGTGATCTCATATAACACGTAACCAATCCATGCCTTTTATAGTTTATTATTATTAAAGTCTAAAAACAAAATTGCAGTTTCTTAGGTGACAGATCTTTTGTTTACAAATAAATGAAGATTACCCTACGATGCTAGAAGCTGTCTAGGTCCGGTGTGTCAGGTTTATCCCAGATTAGATGTGCCAATAACCGAGTCTATTCAGTAAACACTTGAATCTTGTACTTGTTTCATCTGGTTTTATTACTCTTAACCCATAAACAGTGATGACTCTCTGATCCTCTGGAAATACTTACTGCTTCCAATCCTCTTTGTGTGTCTAATTTAATTCATTATAAGGTAGTACTGATTTTAGCATATTAATGTGATTTCTTCCTTGTCGTCCACTTTGGTCCACATTGAATCTTAAAAGCTTTCCAGAGTTCCCTATCAAATCCTAAATATGTAAACTGTCATTATTTGGGGAAGAAAATATGTATTTTTGTTAGTTCACGATATTATGAAATTTCACTTCAGAAAAACCTGTTGAGTTCCTGTTGGGGTTTTTTTCCTTTTTTAATTTCTTTTTTCTTATATTTTTAAATTGATTTTTCTTCTTTGACTTGAAAAAACTGTTTTATTTCCAAATCTGGTCCATATTTACAACCTAGTTCAGAGCCAAGCCTTAAACTGTACAGACTTTCCACTGTAATTAAACTATTTACTGTTTAGTTATAAATAGACTTCAAAAAGATATATTCTCCATTACACTGTCTACCGCATCACTCAGCCCATGGTGAATGTATGTTTCTGCATAGCAAAATAAAAATGGTAAATGCGCTCTCTGTGTAATAATTTCAGTACTGTATGTGTCTGGCCCGGAGGTAGCATCTGCGTGACGTCGAAGGCCTTATTCATCCGCACTGTAGAGATAGCCTGTCTCTGTACCTGATAAAAAGTGTGCGTATGGTGATATAGTGTGTGGACTGTTTCAGGTATTGGAGATGGGGAACAGAATACATATATAAATGGTTGCCTACGAAGGCCTTTTTTAAAAAGTACAGAATCTCATTTTCAAAGTTTTAACTTTTTATAAGAAAAGAAGCTTTGTTATATAACCAGGGTTTCTGGGTACTTTTAATCTACCAAAGAGCCACCTCCCTCAGTCACGTCAGCTCCGTAGCTGAACAGATTCCCTGGGACGTTCTAGCAGGGCCCATGCAGCGTGTTCCCACAGCTCATCCGCATCAAACTCCTCGCTTGTCAGGGACTAAGAATAAGACTTTTTGTTGCCAACTGCCACCAGCCTAACACCTAGTACTTGCTGGCATTTCCTACCATGTCGTGCTTTACCTAACTTTCTGATTTTATTAACTAAATTTAAAAAAAAAAATTTTTCAAAAAATTGTAAGATTTGATCACATATTTTGGTCTTATTGAGGTGGTCAGATTCTTATCATTTCTCTCTGAAGGTGTTATCAGCTTGTCCTTACTATCAACACTGAGTACTCATTTTAAGAACCGAAGCATCATTTGAATTGTGTTTGAAGCCCATCGAAAATGTGTTGAGAAAAATTAACTCTTTATTGACATGATATGGTATGTGACCTCCCAAGGACACCTGCACCCGATCTGCTTAGTTTGTGTCTACCAGGTTGTACCCATGTTCACTGTTTTAAACCAGAACTAGTGTTTTCATCTTTCTGTCCTCAGCAGAAAGTGCTTGTTCATTTTTATAAACTTACATATTATCAAGGAGGTTGTACATTTTCATCTTCCTTTCCTTTTCAGTTATTGCTCTTCAGAATTTTCCAGCCTCAGCTCACTGCTATGTGGGAGTTCCAAAGCCACTCCCACATACTTGTGCTTTTGTGACAGCGGAGCCCCACGTCTAGTACCAAAATCTACAGCTGCTTTTATTGCTGTATGACAGATTACTACAAAATTAGCAGCATAAAACAACACACATTTATTATCCCACAGTTTCTGCAGGCCCGGTGTCCAGGCCTGGTGTCACTGGGTCCTCTATAAGGCTGAGGCTTGGGTCTCAACTGGGGAAGATCTCGCCTCCAAGCTCTTTCCAGCTGTTTGCAGAATGCATTTTCTCATGGTCATAAGACCTGTGACAACTTGCTTCTTCCAAGCCATCAATAGAGGGAGACTAAAGTGTGTCACCCAGAAAGACAGTCTTAGACGACATAATCAGGGGAGCAGCTTCCCATCCATCACCTTTGCCATAGTCTATTGATTATGCAAGTCATGGGTTCTGCTCACAGAGTCAATAAGTTTAAATTTTATTTTTTTAAATATATATTGATTTCAGAGAGAGAGAGAAACATCAATGATGAGAGTCATTGATCGGCTGCCTCCTGCACGTCCCCTACTGGGGATCGAGCCCGCAACCCGGGCATGTGCCCTGACCAGGAATCGAACCTCCATCTCCTGGATCATAGGCTGATGCTCAACTGCTGAGCCATGCCCAGCTGGGACAAGTTTAAATTTCAGATTTGGAGGTTGGTCAAGCCCTATCTAACATCCTCTAATTCAGTTAATTTTACTAATGTGTAAAACTGTTTTATGCTCATTGCTAAACTCTTAGGTAATCTCAGAACATTTTTTAGCCATTACTAATACAGTAAAATGTAACATCACAGTAGGTGTGAAACGGAGCCCCCGATACTACACTTTAAGAAACAGAAGAATTCTACTTCACTTAGCTATTTGCCTCACAGTAAAGAAATGCCTGCTTCTCAATTTTGCTCTAAGATTCAGGCCCAGGGTCATAAGAAAACAAGAATTTAGGGTTCTCTCAATGAGCAGAAAAGCCAATTGCAAATCTTAAGGCATATGGCCCAGCCTATTGGTAACCCGCAGTTCCTACTAATCACACAGGGACCTGAAAAGCAATAGTTATGGACTTGCCAGGCCTTAAAAAATATACAAGATATTTTCCCTGGAGTCATAGAGTGAATTGCTAAGTTCAGGGAATTGCTTTTCTCCAGGTAAAATGCTGCCTGCTTTCCGTCTAGTGGAGCTCGAAGGAGCTCGGAGCTCAGCCCAGGTGGTCACATCCTGCTCCTCCTGTAGCTTTGGGATCGATGGATGGAACCGCAGTGATGCTGGGACACCACCACCCCAGGTTTCCAACAGGCGCTATATATTAGAAAGAATAAACCCAACTGCAGCCCTTCCACATGTGGAAAAAGAAAAATGCTAACACCATGCATGAGGCCGCGCTCGAGTAGCGTGACTTCTAGCCCTCCCTACCACACTTGTGTACACACTTGCGCACAGTGGGTTTTTTGAAATACAAACTTTTATTAAATGTAATTTATAATTACAACAAAAAGGGACTATAAATTTTTAATATCTTCATATTTCTGGATTCTTTTCTCTCTCTGCTCTTCTGGTTGGGTGTTTTTTGTTTCCTCATGTTCCAAATCGCTGGTTTGGTTCTCAGCGTCCTCTACTCTGCTGTTGATTCCCTGTAAACTATTCTTCATTTCAGTTCGTGTAGCCTTCGTTTCTGACTGGTCTTTTTTTATGTTGATGTTCTCAGTAATTTCTTTGAAATTCTCACTAAGTTCCTTAAACATCCTTATAACCATAATTTGAACTCTGTATCTGTTAGCTTGCTTGATTCTGTTTCACTTAGTTCCTCTTCTAGAGATTTCTTCTATCCTTTCCTTTGTGACATGTTTCTTTGCCTCCACATTTTCGCTGCTTCCAGGTGTTTGTTTCTATGTATTAGGTAGAGCTGCTGTGTCCCCTGGAATTGGTAGAGTGGCTTTGTGTAGTAGGTGTCCTGTAGGGTCCAGTGGCTCAGCCTCCCCAGTCACCTGAGCTGGGCCTTCTAGGTGCTCCCCTGTGTGGGCTGTGTGCACTGTCCTGTTGTAG